CTTACAAATGCATACACAGTACATGTCGATGTCAAATTTAAACAAAGTTTTGTACTTCACAGATGCGGCCCAATGGTACTGGATGCACTGATCAAAATAAAAAATGAAATTGATCCCACACTTACATTCAGGCGCTCATGCAGAGAGGGTAAATATTATCTCTAAATGTTATTTTTCTTTCTTATCTCCATTTTGATACGTTTTATCATTAATTAACTTTTTTGTTTCATTCAACAGGAATATGTGGCTCTTGTGCTATGAACATTGCAGGGACCAACACATTGGCTTGTATCAGGTGAGATAATTCTTTCAGCACCTGGAGAAAGCAATCCCTTTGTATTCTCCTTAAAATTTTTCCCTTTTGTAAGCACTTAATTAAAGACAAGATTATTATTATTTTCTTCTTTTTTCAAACCTCAGTCAGGGTCGTCATTAAGAGGCGGGGGCCGGGGATTTTCCTTGGCTACTAAGAGAGTGGCCCCCAGCTACTTTTATTGGCAAATACAAGAAAAATAGAACAAAAAGAAATACCTAGCAGTTTGATTCCCTGCCTACCTGTTGTAATTACCCGGCAACTTGAAATCTTAGTGACAACCCTGCTCAGTTGTTTTTGTTGTATGGATTTAATTTTCTGTTATAATACAATGTAGAAATAGAGATCATAAAAATAACGAGAGCTTTTTCTTTTCAGTCGAATTAACCCTGACGTTGGGAAGAAAACAAAGATATACCCCCTGCCACACATGTATGTGGTAAAAGATCTTGTACCGGTGAGTTCAGTTTTATGACAGTGATCTCTGTTGTCACAATAAGGTACTTCAGCTGAACACTAAACAGCTACAACCATGTTTTATTTTATTTTACATATTAGAGAGACTAGGTTAATTTTAAGAGTTTATTCTGTCTGACATTTATTTAGGACATGAACAATTTCTATGAGCAGTATCGGTCAATTGAACCATATCTTAAGAAGAAAACTGAGGTGGAATATGGCAAGGAACAGTATTTACATGCTAAAGCCTTGCAGTTAAGGCCTGTTGTTGCTTTGTCAAAGGTACGTGAAAGGAGATGAAATTGAATAACATTGATTTAGATGAATGGAGGTTACTAATCAACTAAGTTGTTGTTTTCAGTGTGATTGATTCAACATAACACGAAAACGAGATTAGTGATTTCCAAACGCCCGGCCACAATCCAGGGTTTTTATTTAATCGATGGATTCTTTTGGTTCACATTAAGGTCACGTTAACACAAGCTTTCGTCGGTAAACTTTGTCAAATTGAAAGTTTTTTTCTCCAAATAGTTCCTCTTAAATTAAAAACTTAAGTGTAAACTCTTTCTCTCGTTACATAAGCATATTTTTTTAACAATTGTAAGATTATATCAGTAATAATTTCTCTTTCAATAGAAGTTTTCAGAAAATTAAGATTGTCTAACCACAGAATGAACTTATTTAGGTCTCTATCATTAAAAAGAAAGCAGAAATATCTGTGATCTGGGTGAAATATATACATAGTATAAAATCCTATTGTTGGCCCAGGCAGCTACATCTCAACCTACATAGTAAATCTTCTATACGTGACCACCTTTCATAAGGTACTTGAATCAGTTGTACTTATCAAAGCATTGAGTTGGAACTTCATGTAAGCTTCAACCTCCTGCACAATAGGCACCAAAACTCATCATTCTTGACAACTATTTACGGGAGGTGTGAATGCATTTTAATTAAGTACAGTGATTGTATTAAATTATATACGTATGTAGCCTCCCATTTATGCAGACTTTCTTTTGGCTCATCATGCAATCCTCCCTGTCTGTGGGGAAGGAACGCATGACAAAGCCTTAAGGATGTCTGCATGGGAGCTGAGGCTACAAGAGTTGCAGGATTGCGAATTTCTATCAGCTTTCCATAGACCTAATGCTAAACAACTGACAGAAAGTAAAGCATCAGACTAATGCTGTATTACTTTATTTGCAGCTTCCTGTTCGTAATGCAGCCACAGTCAGTGAGAGTCCTCGTATGAAGACTTTCTCAGTCTACCGCTGGGTGAGTGGCTTGTTTCAAATTTCTTTGCTCAACCAGTACTATAGTTAAACCTCCATTAAGCGGCTACATATCGTTGTATGAGCGCGACCTGGTATTGAACCAGGAGGTATGTGCAAGGCGCTAAGGAAACATGGTGTGTTTGTCGTAAGCTCATTAGACTTGTCTTCTCTTTGTCTTTGCTCATAGCAGTACCCAAGTCTTAGAACTCTTATTATTTTGGACCAGTATTGCTTCTCCCATTGCAAGTTTGTTTTAAAACAAAGTCTGCTAAAGTTTTGCTTATTTAAGATGAACCTCTATTGAGCTGCCAACCTGAGTCCGTAAGTGGCTACTTGCTGGTACCTTAAGGGTGGCTGCTTAATGGAAGTTCAACTGTAGTTAGAAGTACAGGCCTCGTTGTTCAAACGTTGGATAGTGCTCTCCACCAGATAAATCACTATCCAGTGGGCAAGTATTACGGAAATCAATATTACGCTAACCGCTGGATACTGATTTATCCAGTGGATAGGGCTACCCATTGTTGAACAACTGGGGCCTGGTAATCATTATTAATTTTGCTATGTTGCAGACATGGGTTGGGAGAGGGGTGTCACGGGTGTGACCTAAAGGTACCCATCAGACCATCACACCACATGTGCTGCTTTTGAAACAAGTTTGTTACCTCCAATCGTGACCCTAGTAATAAAAGCTTTGATAGATTTCTAACAGCAATGCTGGGAATTAACCAAGTCATTTTTGGCACAATTGTCATCACAGACTTCCTCCATCTATACTAAGAGTTAAAAAAAAGTATTTTCATTTTTATTTTTAGGATCCAGATAAACCAGGTGATAAGCCAAGAATGCAGCAATATGAAGTGGATCTCAATAGGTTTGTGCCGTCATTTTCTGTGTTTTAGGCAATTGTATCTAGTAGCTACTGGGCTTTTTAACAAAATCTCTAATGGCTGCCTCGTAAAATTAAGTCAGCAGTAAAAAAAAACGTTGGCCTTATACATCATTTGACCTTGTTATGATGGTGATAGTGATGACAATGATGATGATGATGATGAAATTATAGCACCCATTACTTTATTGGTGTGCTTACACAGGTAATAAAAAGCCTGAGCTCAAAAATAAGGAAACCAAACTTAAGCTGGAACTAATTTGATTTCTGTGAAGAGGAGGGTATCATGTAGATAATATCCACTCCAAGGGTAAATGTTTATTTTTAATCAAGGTTATTGCCAACAGTGAAAAGTACTATTAAATCAAGGTTTTCCAGAGTTTGAATCACCAACAAGCTTATCCTACTAGGTTGAATATTGTTGAAGCCTGAGAAAGATTTAACTTACAAATGCATACACAGTACATGTCGATGTCAAATTTAAACAAAGTTTTGTACTTCACAGATGCGGCCCAATGGTACTGGATGCACTGATCAAAATAAAAAATGAAATTGATCCCACACTTACATTCAGGCGCTCATGCAGAGAGGGTAAATATTATCTCTAAATGTTATTTTTCTTTCTTATCTCCATTTTGATACGTTTTATCATTAATTAACTTTTTTGTTTCATTCAACAGGAATATGTGGCTCTTGTGCTATGAACATTGCAGGGACCAACACATTGGCTTGTATCAGGTGAGATAATTCTTTCAGCACCTGGAGAAAGCAATCCCTTTGTATTCTCCTTAAAATTTTTCCCTTTTGTAAGCACTTAATTAAAGACAAGATTATTATTATTTTCTTCTTTTTTCAAACCTCAGTCAGGGTCGTCATTAAGAGGCGGGGGCCGGGGATTTTCCTTGGCTACTAAGAGAGTGGCCCCCAGCTACTTTTATTGGCAAATACAAGAAAAATAGAACAAAAAGAAATACCTAGCAGTTTGATTCCCTGCCTACCTGTTGTAATTACCCGGCAACTTGAAATCTTAGTGACAACCCTGCTCAGTTGTTTTTGTTGTATGGATTTAATTTTCTGTTATAATACAATGTAGAAATAGAGATCATAAAAATAACGAGAGCTTTTTCTTTTCAGTCGAATTAACCCTGACGTTGGGAAGAAAACAAAGATATACCCCCTGCCACACATGTATGTGGTAAAAGATCTTGTACCGGTGAGTTCAGTTTTATGACAGTGATCTCTGTTGTCACAATAAGGTACTTCAGCTGAACACTAAACAGCTACAACCATGTTTTATTTTATTTTACATATTAGAGAGACTAGGTTAATTTTAAGAGTTTATTCTGTCTGACATTTATTTAGGACATGAACAATTTCTATGAGCAGTATCGGTCAATTGAACCATATCTTAAGAAGAAAACTGAGGTGGAATATGGCAAGGAACAGTATTTACAGTCCATTGAAGACAGAAAGAAACTGGTGAGTTGATACGGATATTACTACTTCTTTTCTGTTAACTACAGGAAGTTAAATGACCCCATATATGACTATTCCTCGGCAGGACCATGTTCTAACAGAGCCCAGTAGCCCCTGGCAGGCAACTTTTGCTCTTTGGCGACTAGGATTGACAGGTTAAGAGCACTGGGCCCCCTTCAATTTTACTTAGAGCACAACCTTGGTAAGGAAACATCAAGGGTAAACATAAAATTGCCTTGGCCTTTCATTTACCCCATGATGCAAGGGTTTTCATGTGTGTTTCTTGTGATTCATTTCAACTTTTACCCAAGAACTTGAGTAGAAACTCTTGCTACACAGGCTAGCTTTCGTTTAAAGTACCTTGCAAGTATCTCAGCACTTCTTGTCCTAGCCTATTCTGAGACTGATCTCTCTTTTTTTGTATTTTAGGATGGATTGTATGAGTGTATCCTGTGTGCATGTTGTAGCACATCCTGCCCTAGCTACTGGTGGAATGGAGATAAATATCTTGGGCCAGCAGTTCTTATGCAGGCCTACCGCTGGATGATTGATTCTCGGGCAAGTATTAACACTACGTTCTATTCCTGTAACTTTGCAGTATTAGTAGTCCAGATTTTTTTCTGCTGTACTTGTTTTTCCCTATAATGTTTACTGATAAACTACAGTGTATTACATGTGCTCTGTTAAAAGCAAAAATTATTTAGTTTCTGGGTTAACTGTTAAATTATTGGCTTCTTATTTAACATATTTGATTTTGTTACACCCCATTGTGATTGGGCAAAAGCATACTTAAACAGTTTACCTGTAACAAGTTATTTTAGTAATTTTTTTTTCATTTTTTTTGTTGTCACTATATGTAACATTGGCTTCCTAACTTTAAGTATATATACGTAACCTTGTTGTAGGATGACTACACTGAAGAGCGCTTAGCTCAACTTGACACAGATCCGTTCAAAGTGTACAGGTGTCACACTATCATGAACTGCACAAAGACTTGCCCCAAGGTATGGTAACTCTGCATATTTTCACTGAATAATATACAGGCTGTATGTTTACCTTTTTTGTGCACAATGAATGAGATTAGAGAAAAGCCACAATAATATTCTACCTACAAAAAAATAAATAAGAATGATGGCATGGTAGCCAGGTGCCCTATACTCTACACTTCGGACCTGTAGATTCAGGTTCAAGCCTTGCCACCCCATTGTTTCACTAGACAAGAAACGTTGCTCCTCTTTGGTCTCGATTTACCCTTTACCCAGGTGTATAAATGGGTATCAGGGGGGGGGGAGGGGGGAACCATGTGATGAACTCACATCCCATCCAGGGAATGAGGATAATGGCAATTTGCACTTAAATAGAAATTGCCTCATCATTGATATACATGTAATTAGTGTAAATATTATTATTCAAAGATTAATAAGGAAGTTAAAGCTGTAGCAGTGACTGTGAGTCCTCTTCACACCAATGATTGGGAGTTAGGTTTAGTGTATTTCTCTGTTTGGCCAAACATATGGGAACCAGCCTTATGATAACTAAAACCAGGACTTTCATTGAGGGCCCAGGACCAGATATTTCCCCCAGCTACTATGAGCAAGAGCCCTGGCTCATTTCATAGTAAAAAGAATGAATTCCTAGCTGTTCAATTCTCTGTGTACTAACTTGAAATCTTATCAACAGCCTTACAGGTAACCTATCTAATCTTCACTGTTAATATTATTCTTCGTCCAGGGACTAAATCCAGGAAAGGCTATTGCTGAAGTGAAAAAGATGTTGTTCTCTTATCAGACCAAGAAGGCTGCTGCAGCTTAAACCCATCCTTGTCTTTTATAGGTCAAAATAAGTCTTAGAGTATATTAATTTTAAAGGAACATCACTACTAAAATATTTCAGAGGGGACTGAATAGTCACTGAGTGTTGAGGAAAAATGTCTGTAACTGTAAATTTTATTTTTCATTCCAAAGCTCTTTGAATTTCTGATTATAATCTAACTTTAACTAATTACAAGTACAATAAAATGGATGGAAATTTAATTACTTTACCTTTGTTCATAACAAACTGGCAGAAGACCATTGTTTTAGTAGTCTTTGCTCTGCCAATGAGTTTGCTCTAATTTGTAACAAAAGTTTTGAACTCTACAATAATTATGTTGTTTAAATAATTACATAGTCACAAATAGAAGGTTTTCTTTGTACTGAATACTTCATTAAAAAGTAAAGTTTTTCTTTCTGTGCTGCATAGTGTGATATTTTTTTTACATAGTATAGCATTTCAGTTGACATCCATTGGCTGAAGGTAGTATCAATGTGGGCAAGTCTCTTTTTAATGACAAAGAAACGACAGCAGGATATTTTTTGTACTGTGTGAATCAAGCAAGGAATCAAAGCTGAGTCCCTTAAGTGCCAGGCAAATAAGACACCACTAAACACCACTTCACTTTCCAGGAACCAATAGTTGTTAGTAGATGAAATAGCACAAGGTCAGGACATTGGGAATCTGCATCTCAGGATGTCACTGCATATTATGTTGCACACACTCAACTTCCGTGTTCCATGAATTGTATGCACACTGATAGAGTCTTATGCTAAAATGAAAAGACAAAGTGGTAGGTTGTAATTATTGTTTTTCTAAAAACTGAAATTGCCATATCATAGCTAGTGTTATCAATCCCAACTATTACAACACCTCTGGAACAGGGTAAGACAAATTCAAAAAATCAAAAATCAACTTCCCAATTTCCGTTTACTTGCCAGAGCTCTAAAGAGCAAAACCATGAAAATAATTTAGCAAAATAAGTAATGACAATAACCCTTGAGCTATCACATTAGACAAGACTTTTGCCACAGCAAAAGCAGCAGGAGTACCCATGCCCCAAGGGAAACAGTGTTCTAAGTGTCTTCTGTGGTGCCCTGTCTAGTTGGAAAATGGAGCTTTCTCAGCATCTTTGGTTGTTCCTACTTATGGTAATGCAACCAAGTTTTCATCGACAGAGGCAAAGTTAGAATGACTCATTGAAAAACAAATTCAGCATAGCATTTTTACCTGGAGTAAAAGGAGAACTGCATTTCCTTTCCTATTGGTTCACATCATAGCGAAAAATCCTGCAGAGAAGAGAAAGAGTGGCTGTGTCACATTCTGTACTTAAAAGTAAACACATCTTCAAGTCTTCAACTTGAATGATAAAAATGGTTACTTTATGCCTTCAAATGAGGTAGATAATTATCCCTGTGGTTGACAACAAAAAATGATAATCATATTTGCTTTTAGTATTAAAATTTAGTTGTCATGTTATGTTCCATTTCAAAATGCAGCTAACCCAAAGACTGTAGAACTGTTGCCAATTGCATGACTGGCTTAAAAAAATGATATCAGTCACCAAAAAGGCATGTATTTTATTGGCTGCTTATAATGGTTAACACATACCACACTCATCTCAGTTTGTACATGAATGCAGTCAAACCTCTGAGCAACAACCCTCAGGGGACAAGTTCTTCCACAAGTCACTTGACAGAGGTTCACTTCACGTAGGTTCAACTGCATAACTAACTAGGGACTCCCATAATCTGCTGACAGAAACCTCTCTTAAAAAAGAAGGCCTAATTTTTACTTAAATGTATCACTTGTATAAATGTACTTACAGCTGCTTCCTTGACTGACTCTCACTATTATTGCCACATTGCTTTTCTTACTTCACAGACGGCATTCGGGAGGTTATTATTCAATCTCTGAATATCACACCTTTGCAAACCATCATCAAGACTCTACATCTCACAAAATGACGCTTTTGATGTGGTTCTTTGGCTGTCACCCTTCAAATCACACCCTTGCATTCCATGTCAGACTCTCCAGCATCATAAAATTTGAACATTCACCATTCTCTTTGCTTGTTTCACTTGAAAAATCACACCTTTGCACTCCATGTTAAGGCCTTCCTACACTCTGGATGTGGTTATTCAGATTCCAGCTTTTGCCTCTAAACCATGAGATCTAAACCTCTGTGCACCATGTTGAGAGAAGACTCTCCTGGTGCCTAACACTCAAAAATAACCCTTTCACTTTACAATTAGCTGACTACCCTAAAATGACTTTACAGCCTATGAGTATGAAACGATCAAACATCCAGAAATTTGAAAATACAATCCTTGTACACACACACAAAAAAGTGAACCCTTTGCATTCTTGCATATAATAATCAGATGACCCTTGAATATATGTCTCTGGTGGTGACAGATGCATACAACAGCATTCAAGATGTGTGAAGAATCAGAAGTCACCCTTCCACTCTTCTTTGCCATTCCAAACCATGCCTGGAAAACTGGTACGGATGACTTAATTGCCACAAGATAAATGAATTTATTATTTCACACATCACCAAACTTGCAGCAATATGATTCTTGTCTATTTGAAACAAACACTTCTCCACTTCAACTCCACTTCATCAGACAAACATTTTAAAACATAGTTATTTAAAAGTGCATATGACCTCATACAGGAATGAATCCATCCATGCATTTTAATCAACAAACTACTTCAAGTATTATTGTTTTGCCCTGTCACTAAACTTTCACAGAAACCAGATTAATCAGCATACTACGTACTATTAACTTTAACTTTTTAAGCTTTTCATTAGAATGGTATTTAGCTAAGTTTACAAGGACACGTTTGTTGTACAGAAGAAACTCAAAACAGTTGATCAAAAGTTCATGGTAAGAGTCTCTAAATAATGCAGTCTCTGCCATCACATGCAACCATTCAAAATGTTAAAATATTCTAGTTGAACACTGTGTCAGTTTTCTGTGCTTTCAAACCTCACTCAGCTACATACCATAAATATTATTGTTACATGTTTCATGCTTATTTCAACCAGGGTTCACTGTTAGTAAAATGTCTTCAACTTCTTCAACAGTAATTCTAAATGCGGTACTTATTAAAGTTTGTTTGGGGGGGGGGGGGGGGGGGGACAAGTACTTTTTTTTGTTTTTTTTTTTTTTTCAGGGCGGAAGAAAAATATTATTTGAGGTGAGAAGAGTTGTTTGGTTTTCCTTCCCCTAGATAAAATAAAATAAAAAACAACCAATATAATAACGTT